CATCATCATCATCATCAGCATCATCATCATCATCATCATCATCATCATCATCATCATCATCATCATCATCATCATCATCATCATCATCATCATCCCTGTCCTTCTCGCCCAGCGCGGGGTGAAGCCAGAGCCGAAGAGCGGTCCCGAGGCGAGGAGAGCAGATGGGAGATACTTGTTCGCCACTCTCGGCCTCCAGAGGCCCTTACTGGGCCCCAGGGCCGTCGGACTCCCCCAGCAAAAAGCAACTGAATAACAGCAAAGGTGACGAGGCGGGTCGAGGAGTAGGAAGTCGACGAGTGGGAACGTGCATTCCTGTGTATTCCTAAGAACACGAAGTGCGGTAAGGTCTGCCCTTGTGTGAGAGAAAAAATCATTCGCTGGAGTGGAGTTCTGGCAACACGAAGAGCCAGAAGTGCGGTAGGGCATGCACTGTTCCGTGTGAGTAGTCCGCGGGTAGTCAGCATGGTTTTACGTGTCCAGGCCACCCGGGGCGGTATCGAACATGGTTGTCCCTTGCTGGAACCATGTGGTCTTACTTGTCGAGGCCACCCGAAGGGGTATCGGGGCCACCCAAGGGGGTACCCAGCACGGCTGCCCCGCAGTGGAATCAAATGTTTTTATGTGCCCAGGCCACCCAGGGGCGTATCTAACATGGTTGTCCCGAGCTAGGACCAGGTGCTTTTACGTATTCCGGCCAGTCAGGGGGGCATCCAAAATGTTATCCCGAGCTGAAGCCACGTGTTTTACATGTCCAGGTCACCCAAGGGGGTATCTAACATGGTCCTGGAGTTTCATGAAGCTTCGTGGAGCTTCCCTGGGAGATCCTGAAACCTCCTGAGGCCTTCTGGGGCTTCCTCGGGCCTCCTAGAGCTTCCAGGGGCCTCATGGGCCTACTGGGGCCTCCTGGAGCCTCCTGGGGCTCCTGGTGCCTCCTGGTGCCTCCTGGGGCCTCCTGGGGCCTCCTGGGGCCTCCTGGGGACTCTTCTGTTGTCAATGCATGTGAAGAAACCTCAAGCGGAACGGCTGCTGGGACACTTGTGGCCAGAAAACGACCGCTGGGACTTTTCTGTGGTCGTAACTGTTGAGGAAGTCTCAGGAGCTATGAACGAGAAACGGCTCGGGGTTCTCCGGGGCCAGTTTTTCACTCCGGATCCATGTTTGATGGCCGCCGTTCCCGAAGACGGGCCCCAAAGCCGAACTCGAGGGCAAACGCCCGGACTGAAAAAACAACTCGTCGGAGCTCCGGGAATGTCGGGCGGGTGGTAATGGGGGGGGCCCACATGGGGGGTGAAGCAAGGGGCCCTTAAGGGGCCCTTCAGGCCCCCTGACGGGCACCAGCTGGCTCCTCCAGGGGCCCTTTTGGGGCCCTTTTCTTCACCCCCCATGTGGGTCAACCCCCGGTACCCCCCGCCCGAGAATGCACATGCCCTCGCCGGTCTGGGAAACCAAGGAGACCGGGGGAGGGGCAGGGGGGAGGAGGGGGACGAGGAGGAGAAAGGAGAGGGGGGGGAAGGGGGAGGTGGAGGTGGAGGAGGTGGAGGAGGAGGAGGAGAAGGAAGAGGAGGAGGGAGGGAGGAGGAGGAGGAGGAGGCGCGGTCCAATGGATGCGCGACCCCATGGGTGCGCGGCGCGCGGACGGGGAGGGCCTCGGCCCCGCGAGCCGCCCCATATCATTATCCGTGGGGCTGCTGCCGAGGAGCCCCGGCCTCGGAGCCGCGGATGTGGGCATAGCTTCCCCGCCCACGAGGGGCCCCTCGGAGGCCTCCTCCTCCTCCTCCTCCTCCGCCTCCTCCTTCTCCTCCTCCTCTTCCTCCTGCTCCTCCTCATCCTCCTCCTCCTCCTCCTCCTCCCCCCTTCCTTCTTCTCCTCCTCCTCCTCCTCCTTCCTCCTCCTCCTCCCTCCTCCTCCTCCTCCTCGCCCTCCTCCGTCTCCCTCCTCCTCATCCTCCTCATCCTCATCATCCTCCTCCTCCTCCACCCCTTCTCCCATCTCCCTCCTCCCTCTCGTGCTCCTCTCCTCCTCCCTCCCTCCCTCCCTCCCTCCTCCCTCCCTCCCACCTTCCTTCTGGAGAAGGGAGGAGACGACGGCGACGACGACGGCGACGACGACGACGAAGACGACGGCGAAGACGTCCTGCCTCCCCCCCTGGGGGCGCCCTGGGCCGCCAATTTGCCGCCGCCCCCGGCGCGCGCCCGGCGCGCGCCACGACGACGCCGCCACGCCGGGCACGGCGCCGCCGCTCATCATCCGCGCACCAGGAGGGGCTCGAAACAAACAGTGACCACGTCGCCCAGTCGCCCCGGGAGCTCGGTGCGTATAGACGCCGCTGCTCCCCGTGACGAGAGTTTCTGCCAATCTGCCCTCGCCAATAGCGCACCAGCGCGGAGTCGGAGTAGAAATGCTCAAACTACTCCGCACGTGGGCGCATCCCGCTCGATGATTCGCAGGGTTTGGCGCGGAGTAGTTTCAGATCCAGTTTCGGGGTAACGGCGTTATACGTATTAGGCGTATCGGAGACTACTCCTCCGCATGGCGCAGTCATCATGTCATGCAAGGAACATTTACAGGATATGAGATATCATCATCATCATCATCATCATCATCATCATCATCATCATCATCATCATCATCATCATCATCATCATCATCATCATCATCATCATCATCATCATCATCATCATCATCATCATCATCATCATCAGCATCATCACCGTCAGCATCATCATCAGCAGCAGCATCATCACCATCACCATTAGCATCATCAAAAACATCATCATCATCATCATCAGCATCATCAGCATAAGTATCGTCATCATCAGCATCGTAATCATAATCAGAAAAATAATGATCATCATCATCATCATCACCATCATCATCATCATCATCATCATCATCATCATCATCATCATCAGCATCATCATCCTCCTCCTCATCATCATCAGCATCAGCATCATCATCATCATCATCATCATCATCATCATCATCATCATCATAATCATCATCGTTATCGCCATCGTCATCGCCATCGTCATCATCATCATCGGCAACATCATCACCATCATCATCAGCATCATCAGAATCAGCATCAGCATCAGCATCACCATCATCATCCTCAACATCATCATTCTCACCATCACCATCATCATCATCACCGTCATCATCATCATCATCATCATCAGCAGCAGCATCATCATCATCATCATCATCATCATCATCATCATCATCATCACCATCATCATCACCACCACCACCACCACCTCCCCACCACCACCACCACCACCACCACCACCAGCATCATCATCATCATCATCATCATCATCATCATCATCATCATCATCATCATCATCATCATCATCATGGCAAATCGAAGGAACTTTTGTCACGGCTGCGTATACGCTGGAACTGCTCGTCGAACCCCTTGGCTCCATGGCCGACCACAGGCGTCGAGGAGCACAGTCAGAACTGATAGCAAGGACGAGCGATGGGGATGCAG